AAGCTAGCATTAGCATTAAGTTAATGTTAGCTTTTTCTAGCTAGAGTTTTTTTTAAAAAAAGTTGCCAACGTCTACTTATCCTTACCAACAGTTATAAGTAGTTAATGTGTATATTTTTTTTTACATTTTGTGTTATCTCTATAATAAACCAACGTCATTTAGCTTAGAAGCTAACTGTTGGTATCCATAATAGAGCAACTTTTCAAAGACTCTCGCTAGCATTAGCATTAAGTTAGTGTTAGCTTTTGCTAGCTAGAGTTTTTTTTTAGCTTGGAAGCTAACTCTAGCTAGCATAAATATGAGTTGCATTTAATGTACTGCACACAAATCCGTCTCCATCCTTTCAGCCCCATCTGCTTTAATTGCTAATCTAGAAATTTCTCCAAAACCTTGCCCACCTAGCAACTCATTAACCACTTAAACTGTTGATCTATTTTTAAAAATACAAAATGTATTTACTTTTTTTTCAGAAACTGTGTCTCATTAGAAAAAAAGGAATTTAGTGGCATCATTTGACCATTGTGACACTTAAAGGCAACACAAACAAGGATAAGTTAGGCCTGACCACAGCTACACACTGAGTATCAGACAACAAATGTGTTGTTATTGTAACACAACCCTACATGTTAGCAGTCTTTAACTGTAAGTGATGAAAATGCATTAAAAAAAACAACTTTCAGTACAGTGCATACAGTATGTATCATATTACAAACAGATCTCACTGTGAACACACAAACAGATGGGACTGAGGGGCCCTTGAGAGTTTCCCAAAGATCCAAAGCAAAAAAAAAAGGAAAGAAAAAAAAAATCACTTCAATAGAAATGTACTGGCAAGCAATTAAAGTGCGTCCCTATAGTCTACTCTATATATACGCTGATGAGCTGGTCTGTACAGGTTCACATAGCAGCTCCTCCACTTTCGACAGAGGCTGGCATCAGTCATCAGCATCATATCTGATTACTTTTGGCAGACTATTAACTTTAGCATTGCCGCCTCCTAGTGGATTTATAGGCTGCAAGCTGACTGACCTTTTATATCGCATTTGCAGTGAAAGTTTCATGCGGTCGCAGTTTTTACCCTCTATGAACATTTTTAATGTTTTTTTTTGTAAGTCATCCTTGCAATGAATCGTCACCTGCAAGCTTCACCTTCAGCTGCACAGTTAATTGAAAGTGAGGCCACCATCAGTCTGCTTCTGGACGACATGGAGGACTGACATGTTCACTCTGATTATAGAGTGAAACCAGGTATGCATATATGTGTGTGTGTACTGTATGTATGTGTTTGTGGTATGTTACTGATATGCATTACATTTAAATGGATGGGTGGATATGGATGCATTCTGTTTTGTTGTTTGTTTTGGTCATATATGTACCACATTTCAATTCTAATTTTTCCTCAGCAGTGTTGCAAGTAATACTAAGTTCTGCTGAGGGAAAACAAATAGAACTTCTGAACTTTTAGAGTTCTGAAAATGCTTTTATAATTATCCTGCAATGAACTGGATTGCTATACAATGGGAATCTGAGCATGTCTCATCAAGTTTCACTTTCTAGGAACCAAACATAAAGGTAATCCTCCTCTTTTGCACAAATATTTTAGGAGCCAGTTCAGTGTAATTGAAGTTGCGACCACTAGGCAGAGCCCTAAGCCTTCCGAAAAATCCTGAACATCAAGAGGAGCTGATATCGTGATAAGCTCCTACTTGTTATTGTCCTAGTGCTCATGCTACAGAGGTTGCATTACTGAACTCAGACTTCTTCCTTGTATTGACTTTCCTTAATACCAACCATAGTTAACAATCCACACACTTCAGATCACTAAATCCCCCAATAGATATGTTTCCATTTGTGTTTCTGTATTCCTGTGAGTTTGTATACGATTGTGTTTCCACAGCATGTTTATTCATGGGGTTTTCTTTTACACCTTGGTCATTTTATAAAGTAGCCTTTGTGGTGTAACAGGGATCTGGGGGATGAGAGGTGGTGGAGGTGAGGACGGGGTGAAAGGGACAGCAGATGGGTGCTGAAGGAGCTCAGCACAGATGGACAATAGGCGTCTCTACCGAGGAAATAATAACCAAAAAAAGTTCGGCGACACGGGCAACATTTAAATAGTCTCCCTTTTTAGTCAGCTTCATAATAGCTCTGCAGTAACGCGTGAAAAATGCGACATTAAGTGTGAAAGATGGGAACGAAAGGCATCAACAGACTGAAAAAAGGCTAGCATGGAATTTAGATGAGCTGGATGTGTGCTGAAGATTATATCTGATACCACCTATTCAATTTATTTGGTCACATAAGAAGTCAGTGAAGTGTGTGTGTGTGTGATAGAGAGAGAATACTGGAAGAAAAAAGGGCGAGAAACAGCCCATTTTTCACTCCACCCAAATAAGTCACCATTCCTCTGTGATTCATTGTTTAATTTAATAAGAATACCATAGCAATTTGAATACAAAATGAGACCAAAATATTATGTGTGCACACGAAGGCAGCTCATGACAAGAGGGCTCTGCTGGGCTCTCTGGATTTCTTCCATGTTATGTCAGATGTTCAGAATTAGATTTGAGTTTATAATGTGATTATGTGGAATTTAACTCAGGCAAAAGGGTTGTTGCTAAAAAGAAATTGTTGATAGAGAGACATGCTTGACTTGCTTTTGAGATGCTTTGCTAATTTTTGAGACGAGTGTTTAACAAAATTGTAAATGTGTTTTTTAAAGACAGAAGTGTGTGTAGGGACAGTTGAGGTGAACAGTACATGGGTGTGCCCTGTATGAGGAAGTTATTTTAAATCAGCTCTGTCGTGACAGATATATGTTAGTCAGTTAGATTGCAGTTCATCAAACACTGGGTTACCTGTATTTGTAAGTATATATTGTGCAAATATGGGAGGTATGACAAAGAATTCCTAAAGGTATGTGTCAGATTAGAATCAAGTACAAACCAATGTTCGTGGAGGAAGACCCTGAACATCAGGAAACAGCTAGGAAGGAAGTCCTTCTTACAGGAACTGCTAAACAAAGATAGGAACAATGATTGAAAAACAACTCAGCTGGAAAATAACACATCTTAGGTGATGAGGATGGACTTTACAAAGAAACTGTAGTTTCTTTTGAAATGCCTGGTATCTTTTTGCTGGCAGTGTGGTTCATACTAGATGCTCTAATGTGTGCAGAGCAGGAAAACCAGATGTGTTAGGAGAGCACCCTCATGTTTTCCACATGGAGGTGGTTTTGCATTCTATGTAAAAATGCTGCTAGCAGTCTTTTTATTGCATATTCTGTCTGAGATGACTGTGTGTGTAGTAAGAAAACTTTCAATGGGCTTTTGTCTCATGAACTACTCAGAGGTGTAGTTCAGACTTAAGAGACACTCAAACAGGCCTAATCTTTGGAGACTGGAGTTTAAATGACACCTTTCTGAGAGAAAAATATGCAGGGGATGCTGAATAAATTCTGGTTGCTTCCAGGGATCTTCATCTTCCTGTGGTGGAGGAGCTTTCTGTCTGGTTCGTCCTCGCCATTTTTTCCAAGTAACAGTCCAGAATAAGGTCAATGCCCAAATGATGAAGGAAACCAGAGTCTGAAGCAGCACAGGTGAGCGCCTGAGCCAGACACATGGTGCTCCTGTGGAAATATACTTCTTACTCAACATACTCACTTTTTAATTAGCCCCAACAGTAATCACATTTTTGAAGCAGGCTTTGGTTTTCACGTTATCTCAGAAGCATTTAAAGAGAAAATTAGTGTACATCAGAAAACATCATCTACAAACTACATAACCACTTTTCCAGAATGTTTCCACTCTGCACTGTTTGGCTTTGACAGGGGAACACAACAATACCCTCCATTATGCTCTAGTTAGTTTTATGGGGCAGCTAAATGATCAACTATCAGCTCATTGTACAAGCTTCCTTTGATTTTTGCTCTCCATATAAAGCTGACCTGCAGTGACGGATCATTTGAGGTAATGCAAGTGAATAGACATACAATTTAGGGGGAACACCGTGAGAAAATTAGGCAACAAAGGAGGCATGGAGGCTACATTTCAAAGAGAAAATTGTGTAAGATCATAGGGTAGACCTGATAGGATTGCTTCTTCAGATAGGTAAAGGCGGTACACCAAAATAAGATCTTGAGCGGCACCAGTCGGTGTAAGATCCTTTCAGTATTTTACCTATTTGTGCACATTACATCTTGGCGGGAGTGGGAGGGAGGGTGCAGCATGGAGATTTTTTTTTTTCCCTCCTCCCTTGAAAACTACTAATGCAGCCAGAGAGTGAGAAAGTAACTTTCTCCATCTGGGTAGCATTATTCAGATTCCTCAGTGCTGGATATTTGATGATGCTGGCACGGGAAAGTGAGCGAGGCGTGGAGACACAGCGAGGGAAAGTAAAGTAAGAGGACGGATGAGGAGAGTAAGACCAGAGGAGGGTGCTGTTCTATGAGAAAGGTGATGTGGCCTTAAATGCACTCCCCCAAAAATGCCTAGCGTTGGGAGGAACCCATTAAAAGCAGAATGTGAAAACCCATGCCTGCAGATGGGACTTTCGTCAAATTGCTGTGTTAAAAGTTAGAATTTGCTACGTTGTGACTGTTGCCGTGGAAACCAAACACATGGGGAATATAACGCTGCAGACAAAAATCATATCTGCAGAGTGAGATTTCAGCGATGGCGTAAGTTATTTCGTCAACGGTGGAAGACAGCCACAAGGAGACAGGCAGTCTTGCTGGTGAAACACTTCCATAACTCACATCCCATGTGAATCTGTCTCAGCTTGTGGGAGAAAAAGGGAGGGAGCAAACTAAACAGGGAGGGAGGAAAGAAAGAAAGAATGTACTGAGATCTCATCATGTGATTTCTGTTTTTCTTTTTTCTTTTTTTTTGTTGCCATTTTTTATAGCTGCAGAGTGATTACATGTTTGTAGTTTGGGGATCTTAGCAACATTTTCCAAACCCTCTCCGCTCTCTGTTTGCCTGGCTCTTTTTTTTTCTCATTATCCAACAGCATACTTTCCCTTGACTTTTTTTTTTTTTTTTTTCTTCTTTCAGTGTGACGTGTAAGTGGAGTTCCTGCCCTTGTTTCATGCAGGAGAGTTGAGAGTGAAGCAGAAGGACTGGTGGAGAGGCGGTCATCTACTTTGACCTGTCATAGGGAAGATGAATTGAAGGTATAAAGAAGAGGAACTGTTCGTGGTTTGGCCTAAGTGTATGTGCTTCGTCCTCACAGGGGAGTGAGGCAAAGGGGAGGAAAGACTCAGAGAAGGAGACCGAGGCTGAGCGAAAGTGACTGAGAGGAGAGAGGTTAAGTTGCCTAATTGCATTGCCCATGGGCAAAGGTGGAAGAGAAGCTGCAGCTGAGAAGTCTGTTTGACACAGGAGGAGGAGCACCAGCCTGAAGGGGAACCACCAGTTCAGCCTTCTTCCAGCAACAACAGGACAGGATGAGGTACCAAGGCAGGGTAAGCTGAGTGTCATGATGCTCTTTGCTGTGTTTTCATGTGTATCGCTGTTCACCGACTTGTGTTTGTGCATTGTCTGTACTTACACAATAAAGCATTAGATCCGATCAACCAGTTCACTCTCTCGCCCATGGAGACACCAGAGGGGGAAAAGCAAAACAGAACAATGAGTCACTTGGAGGGTTTTTCTTTCCTGTCTGTGAGTCAGTGTGTATTTTGGTTTTTTGTTTAAGCTTAAACTCAAGCAGCCTGAAGAGGTTAAGTTTGGTATTTTTCCACCATATCCATTACTGGCACATGAGTGGTAGTGAGCCAGCTGTGGTACCAGAGCAGCTCGCCCTGGGACAGAGTGGTGGGGCATGCCTTATAAGGAAGACAATCTGAATGTAGTCGGCCCAGCAGAGCTTAGTCATGAGGCCAAGAGCCAAGTCCCACCGCTAAACTCCTCTCTAGCTGTCACTGCCGCCGCACCTACAAACCTGCAGATTTCACCGAAGCTCCCTGATACTCGGAGTCAAATCCCACATGAAGCACTTGAGCACCGTCAGCAAGATTAGACTCACTGCTGTAACAAGCCGACCTCTGGTCAGTTAACTGAAAACAAAGCTGCAAGGATTATGTTGTATTCTGGTTTAATCTTCACCCCACACCTCTGGCCCTTAGTGCATCTCTGCCACAGTGTCTTCATAGAAATGGCTTTCACATGCTTCAAGATAACACCAGCAGTAGGAGTGTTTCTGTTTTGGAAGCGCAGCAGTGTATTGGATGAGGCTTCTCATCACTAACAGTGACTTTGTAACACGTGCTGTGTTTAATACAATTCCTGGAATGAAAGTAAAAAGTAAAACTCATGACTGGTAAATGAAAACAAGAAAATGGAGCATTTTGTTGCTCCTGTTTGTAACACTGCACCAAATTAATGAGTACATTTGATGCTTTAAGGCATGTTAACGATGGACACTGCACAGGTACTGTTAGCACAGCAGCTACTGTACATCACAGATGAACTTAAAAGGCAGGAGATCTGAGGAAGATGGAATGAAAACTTCAGTCCAAATGTGTCTGTTGAAGTTCAGAGCCAGGTAGTTCTGGCCAGTGTCATCCACTAAGGAAGGTTGATGTGTGTGCTGAACACACTGAGGTGCTTTTAAGTTCCACCTTGAGCTTCTAGACGCTATATGTGACAAGCTGCTTCTACATGCACTCATTGAAGCAAAACAAAACAAGTCTAAATGAAGTCAGCAATCCTCTACAACTTCTCAGTGCTGTATATAACTGCATGTCATTGAACGTTAACAAACCATCAAAGAATTATTGAAAACGTTGTAATCGTGTGCAGCTTCACAGCAGTGTAAGGATAATTTAGTGTTTGAATTGCTTTTTTTTCCTCTTATAGATATCATTACCGAAAACCTGAATTGACTCGTTGTGCAAAAACATTTTGTGGCATCCAGTGAACGTCTGCTCCAACCCTGACCCTAACATGCCTTACATATATCCTCTGGAAAATGTGACCGTGAACTGTAATAACTATCTGTAGGAAGCCCACCTGCAAGCGGGAGCACAATGCTCTTAGGTGAAGTAGAGAGGAGGGGCTGCAGTGGAAGTGTCCGGTGACTTTCCTTTACGTGCACTTCTTGGCTATCTTCCACTGTTGTCCTCTTGTTTTTTTAAGGATTTTCCTGCATCATGTGTTCAGAGATAATGACCTTTTAGCGGCATTAACCAGCCAAATGAGACCCTTGAGAGGCTCTTGCATTCAAGAAAAACAGAAGTCCTGTGGAAGTCTATTCCCTTTGTTCCACTTTCTGCTTGTTTCTTATGAATGCGAAACACAAGGGCTTCTCTTATAAATGAGCCTTTGATACTGGAGATAGAGTGCTGCTGGTTTAACTGGGGTGTAGCGCATTGATTACACACCAAATCCATGCCGGGATATTTATCATCAGTAAGTAACAACTACTGACATTTTTATCTCTTTGTCTGTGCATATGCATGCCTGTTCATTGGTAATATCTAGCTCTAGGGCATGTGTGAGAATTTCACTACGCCGTCTGCTAATTCTTTCCTGTCTGCGCTCTGATGTTTGCCATCACAGCGGGGTTGACATGTACACACATCTTCCCCGTGGCACTGGTTTAACCCTGTCTAGTGATATAGAAGTGTTTGTACTGTACATACATCATAATACACTATCTCACTATCACATAATAGAGGAGCCCATCCTGTCTGTTTATCATTTAGACTCCTTAAATGTCTTCATTGTTTAATCTTGGCAAGGTTCAGTGGAACTGTTTTTACTTTGTGTGTTTCCAGAGGGCTGTTTTTGGTGTTTCTGGTCAGTTAGTCTTCAGTCATTTCCCTGATATTTAGAGTATTCTTGTCATAAGTATTGTTTCTCTTCATAACTGGATTCTACAATGTAAAATGTTATGTGGAAATTATTGTAATCTGGAGCATCAGATGTTATTTTGTTCGTAACTGGTTGAATGTAGCATGCTATGGGTGACTAAGGAAGCTCTTCTGTGCCCTCTGCTTGTCATCAGAGTGTAATTACACCAATAGGACGATTACTAGAAAGAACAAAAGATAGTTTTAAAATTTAAAGCCCTTCATGAATGCAGGACAACTCACATTCATCTATTTACTCTCATTTACAGAATTAACAGACTGATGAAAAAAATGTATACAAATCTGTTAAATCCTGTCTCCTCCTTGATATTAAACAACTCAGGTGAATTTGTATGAGAATGCAGGGTCTTAAACTTACTATTTAAATGGGTCAGGTAAATTTGTATTACATGAAATATTTAGCATTATATGTAGAATATTATCAGAGCCTATGCAATTAATATTGTCAGGTCTTAAACTAAATCTTTAAATCTGTCAGGTAAATGTATAATGGTATTTTCATTTCTTCATGGTCTGTTGTTTTAAACCTGTAACATGAATAACAGTGACGTGCTTCTCTGTGTAGGAGGTGGATGTTGAAGGCAGGGTGCGCCTGGTGATGGAGAGCGCTCTGACCGCCCGGGACAGGGTCGGGGTGCAGGACTTTGTCCTGCTGGAGAACTACAACAGTGAGGCAGCTTTCATAGAGAACCTCCGGCGACGCTTCAGAGAAAACCTCATCTATGTAATAAAGCCAATTTTCCTCATATGTTTCACAACATTTGAGTTGGTGTGGTGTGACATGATTTGACCTTGGTGTCTGTTCTCCTAATGTTTTGGCTCAGACATATATTGGCTCCGTGTTGGTGTCAGTGAACCCTTACAAAGAGCTGGAGATTTACTCCAAGCAGCAGATGGAACGTTACAGAGGGGTCAGCTTCTATGAAATATCGCCGCACATGTGAGTCATTCCATAATCCTCAGACATTTGTGATTTATGTTTCACTCACTCTGTGTGTAGGACTTATATGGAATCATACGGTTTGTAGAGAAAAATACTTTTGTTATAAAAAAAATAAATAACGAACAAAAAGCTACAAATGAACAAAGTGCAGTGGTGTTTGTGTAACTGCACTTCAACACCATATTCAGCTGTATGTTGATCAGTAGCTGATGCTGCTCTCGTGTTTTCCTTCAGCTATGCACTGTCAGACAACACCTACCGGGCGATGCGGACCGAGAGGAAGGACCAGTGTATTCTCATATCAGGTGAGAGTGGAGCAGGTAAAACCGAGGCCTCCAAGAAGATCCTCCTCTACTATGCTGTCACCTGCCCCACTAATGATCACATGGCTATCCTCGGTGACCGCCTGCTGCAGTCTAACCCTGTTCTGGAGGTACAAACTGAACAGCCAGTGTCCACAATACATGATTACTCTTGATTGTGGGATTTTGTTATTGCATTGTGTCTTTTAATTTCGCTTCCTCTCTCTAATTTTTTGGCTCTTTTCCTTCTCAAAGGCATTCGGCAACGCCAAAACACTTAGGAATGACAACTCCAGCCGCTTTGGGAAATACATGGATGTCCAGTTTGACTTCAGGGTAAACACTTCCTTCTTGGCGTCTTTATACTAAATAGAAATCACAGCTGTGCACACCACAGTGATGGCATCATATTTAGTAGAGTTATATGTTGGATAGCAGCTCAAAAACATCTAGAATTTTAAACATGCTTTGCTATATACTCTCTTGTTTTTGCGTAACATCTCCAAGGGTGCACCAGTGGGTGGTCATATCCTGAACTACCTGCTGGAGAAATCCCGCGTGGTCCACCAGAACCACGGTGAAAGAAACTTCCACATCTTCTATCAGCTTCTGGACGGAGGGGACGATGACCTGCTCAACACACTGGACCTGGAGAGAAACCCTCAGAACTACCGCTATCTGGTCAAGGTAGGTGTGGTGCAGTTTGATTAATTACTTGTTTACAAACCCAGGTCAATAAAATTGTATCATCAGTTATGATGTCATTTTTAATTGTCTTGTTCAGGGCAACTGTCCCAGAGTCAGCTCCATTAGTGACAAGAATAATTGGAAAGCTGTGATGAAGGCCCTGCCTGTTATTGGCTTCACAGAGGAAGAAGTGCAGGTCAGTAACTGTCCCAGTGTTGACTAACACTTGCCCATATGCAGGCTACAGTGCTGCTGTTTTGTTTTTCACTTATGCTCTCTGGTTCACCACATTTACCACATTTAAGTGGAACGAGTTACACTGTAGAGTCGCTGGAATGAATCCAAGAGCAACGTTCTGACAGCTTCCATTATGTTGGGGAAAGTATTTTCAGTCTTGACTCTGTTCACTGTTCATTGTGTGACATTTAAACATTTCAAACATCACATTTCTTATCATGAAACAAGCATTTAAAAAACAGATAGTTCATCTATGAGGTTGTTGTCAGCTGTTTGTCCTGTGTCTGACCTCAGAAATTGCTGAATGTCATCGCCAGCGTTCTCCATCTGGGGAACATTCAGTTTGGGGAAGGGGAGGAAGGAGAAACTTATATCACCACTGAGACCCAGACATCAAATCTTGCGAAGGTCAGAACTGTTCCATTAGTATTATTGGGTGTTCAGATATGCACAAACACCCGCAGAACAGCATCACCGAGAACAGATGTGTTGTTGTTTTGCAGCTGCTGGGTGTTGATGGTTCAGCCCTCAGGGAGGCACTCACTCACAAGAAACTCACTGCCAAAGGAGAGGAGGTGATTTTCAGCTCGTCCTTACTCCGCTTTTAGTTGTTGTTGTGTTGATTTTCATTTGTGTCATACGTGTGTTTGTGTGTTGCAGATGATCAGCCCGTTAACTTATGAGCAAGCAGTGTCTGCCCGTGACGCCTTAGCCAAGGCTGTGTATGGTCGGACCTTCACCTGGTTGGTGGAGAAGATCAACCAGTCTCTGGCTCTGAAGGTGCAGTATCAGCTCTTATAGCAAAGACAGTACAGAAATTCCATTATCATGTTGTGGGGCTGTTCTTGTGCTTTACCACTGATTGCATGATGTGTACTTTGTGTCATGCAGGAAGAAATCTACCACAGCAGCAAAGGCTCCTCAGTTATAGGGCTTCTAGATATCTACGGCTTTGAGGTCCTACAGCAGAATAGGTATGAGGTAGATAATTGCTCCCTTTCTGTCGCACTTTAATCTACTTTTTTTTCCTTCTTTGTCAGTTGCGTCGTGTTTTGTATCTAAAGCATGCATTAGGAGTCATTTCCTGTATTTCTGTTTACAGTTTTGAGCAGTTCTGCATCAACTACTGCAATGAGAAGCTCCAGCAGCTGTTTATTGAGCTCACCCTCCGGTCTGAGCAGGAGGAGTACGAGACAGAGGGCATTGCAGTGAGTCCATTTATTGGTTGTCAAAACAAATGCGTTTAATATAATAATTGATATTTATATTTTTATGTTAACATAACATTGTTGCCCTTTAAATTGTAGTGGGAGACAGTGCAGTACTTTGACAACAAGATCATTTGTGACCTGATAGAGGAGAAGCACAAAGGCATCATTTCCATCCTGGTGTGTAAAACAACTGCCAGTTTACATGTGTGTGGCTGTCTTTCTGGTGTTATATGTCCCTCTGTCTCAGTTTTTTAAGTGTAATACGATGGCTGTCTTCCAGGATGAGGAGTGTCTAAGACCTGGAGAGACTTGTGATGTCTCCTTTTTAGAGAAGTTGGAGGACACAGTGGGCAACCATCCCCATTTTATCACGTAAGGATCATGTTATATAAAATATTTTTTTCTGGCCAATGTGTGTTTGTCATCGGTGTGCGTGTATCTTTCAGGCACAAGTTGGCAAATGGAAAAACTCGCAGGATAGTGAGTAGGGAGGAGTTCAGGCTGCTACACTATGCAGGAGAGGTCAACTACAATGTCAATGGTAAGCTGTCATTTGTTGCTGTAATTTATTAATAGATCAATCAGTTGACTATTTAAAATCATGCATCGGAGCATGTGTTTCTTTTTGAAAGGTGACATTTATTAGAGAGCATAGCCCACAACCCACTGATTCCTCAATGACAAACTCTTTCAGGTTTCCTGGACAAGAACAATGATTTGCTGAACAGGAACCTGAAAGAGGTGAGGATAATGAAAATGGACACGGCAGAGCTTGGCTGCGACCTTTAAAAACCGCTGTGTTTACTAGCGTTGCTTGATTGAAGAGGAAAAGAGGGGTGTGATGTGTTGACATGTGGTTGTGTGGTTTGGTCGCTGTTCAGGTCATGTGCCAGTCAGACAACCAGATCCTGAGTCACTGCTTCCGCAGAGAGGAAGTGATAGACCAGAAACGCCCAGAGATGGTGAGGACCATTCCCGCTTTTTCTCCATGCCAGTCCTTTTTTTTTTCTAGCTATTTTTTTTGTTCATTTTTTAGGTGTGCGTTTAAACCAAAGCTGTTTAAACTGTTTGTTTAAAGAGAGTGATAATACACACACTTATGAGTGCTCTCTCTCTCTTATTGTCTTTTAAAATGTGTCACATAGACATAAATATGCAAAGATTTTCCCATAGTTTCATTTCCTTTTATTTGTCTTTTAGGCTGCAACTCAGTTTAAAAACAGCCTGATGAAACTTATGGAGATCCTCATGTCTAAAGAGCCATCCTACGTGCGCTGTATCAAACCTAATGATGCCAAGCAACCAGGTACACTTTAACATCTTGTTACATGAACTCTCATATAAAATCTGTGAGATAATGTCCACATTTCAAATACGGCGACAAAGAAATGAAGGTAGATTGTAATAAACTACAAAGAAAAAATGGGGTAAATAAAGAGGTTGCCTGTACTACAACAGTGTAAACAGAAATCAAACTTCTGCAGTGTTATCAGTTGTTATCAAGGTTGTTGTCACTCACTGACTAATTAGTTACATGTGATTGATTGTTTATTATACTTTCTCTTAATGATTTACGCTGTGGATACTCAACTGCTGCAGATGTGTCACAATAAAAGCGTCTGAAGCATTTCAGTGTTAATGACTGAGGAACAATTTGGATATGATTAGAAAGCAAAGTTTATCACTAAATTTAAAAAAGCACTTATTAAAAGAAGATAATTAGAATGAAAGGCAGATCTGTGATAATACAGATAGCATGAATGATAACCTTGTTGTTGTTTTTTTATGTGAGGTAAGTAAAAACCTCACTCACTTATTCCATGTAATTAGTCGATACTTTGTACTATTGTTTGTATCTCATAAACATTGCCTTAAGTGTGTCATTGTCTCCCTGTAGGAAGGTTTGATGAAGTTCTGGTCAGACACCAGGTGAAGTACCTGGGCCTAATGGAAAATCTGAGGGTCAGAAGAGCTGGCTTTGCTTATCGTCGTCGCTTTGAAGCCTTCCTCCAGAGGTGACTGACCTTCTTTCTGATTGGTTTACAGCCACTGTTCATTATGTTCAGCCTTCCGTGATTATAGCTCAGGGCTTCAGACTAACTGTTTCACTGGTAGCACCGGTGCGACCAACTTCCTTTTCTCGTCGCACCTCCCACCTTGTCAAAGGCAAAACACATCACTTGCTGAACATCTGCTTGTCAATAGATGCTACAATTTACAGATGTCCCCTAAACACCCTACATTGCAGGCTGTGGTAGCTGCTGCTAGGTGGCTGCAGTGTGCTCAGACAGGTGTGTGACCGAAAAATACTTGGAAACAGCTAAACTGGGCCGTTCTAGTGTCAGATTTGTCCGAGATGAAACCGAGTAATTTTATTGTAGAGTGTGGAGCGCACCTACATGCACTGTTCCGCTCATAGTGAATGCAGGTGCGCTTCACATTTCATGAGAAGACTGCAGTTTAAGTATAAATACTACAGGCCAAGTTATAAAAGTGGTACTTTCCACCACTGTGGTTAACTCAGTAGCTGCCTGCGCTGGTTACAGTGACACCAAAACAGTTTAGTCATCATCATGCATTCGCACGAATGCGACCAGTTGAAATTTCAACTTGCACACTCTCAAAAAATGGTCACAGTCTGGATCCCTGTAATTATATGCTAATAACCGCAGGTATAAGCCCCTGTGTCCTGAGACGTGGCCCAACTGGCATGGCAGACTCGTAGATGGCGTGTCCACACTGGTCAACCATCTGGGCTACAAAGCAGAAGAGTACAAACTGGGCAGGTAATTTGTTATTTAGGAGTGACACTATTTTGCCAATGATTTGAGTCCAATACCACTGAATGTGTTGGTACATTTGTGTTGCTCAGACCTTTTGTCTACTTTCTGCAGATCAAAAATCTTCATCCGTTTCCCAAAAACTCTCTTCACCACTGAAGATGCCCTAGAAGCAAAAAAGCCAGAGATAGGTAAGTAACAGTGGCCAGGATTATAAAGAAACGGGTATATTAGGAAAGATGTCTGTAAGGGAAAATAGTATCTACCAGTTGAATCCAAATTATTTTTGTGAAGAACACTTGCAACGTGTTCAGACTGTAGGAGAGGTGACGATTCAATATTTTTTTTGAGCTTATAGCAAATATCCAACCTGGCTTCACAATGAAAAACATATCTAACCAGTGTGATGACTCTCAGGCTGAACTATGGATCAGTTCCTGTGCTGGACATCAACATCAGGACTTGTGAAACATCTAAATGGAAAAGCATGAATTCACTTTTCCTGTCCTTTGTTTGTGTTCCAGCGTTGACCCTGCAGACATCATGGAGAGGCTACAGAGAGAGAGCCAAGTACCAACGCATCAGGCACGCAGGTAAGAGCACCTCCTACTGTTGACTGCCTCACAGCTTGCAGTCTGAAATAAATAAAGCTTTATTGTGCTGATATACATATTTTAGATATGTTTGATTTTTTTGGATGCATTTTAATTTACTTCTCATAAATGTGGATTCTGGACTTCTCCCGTTGTTGTATTAAGACTGTCTGCTTTGTTCATTTATGTACATGTGGGCCTATTCTGCTGTGGAATATGTGCATTTTGCTTTATTTCACTTTTCCAACGTTTCTGTTCGGGCCTAAGCTGATTTCATGTTTCAGTAAACTGTGCTGTACTAACTTTGGGATGTTTTCTTTGGCTGAGTGTAAAAGTTGGTGTTAATACATGCATGTGTGTGTATCTACGTGTAGTGATAGTGATCCAGTCGGGGTGGCGAGGGATGAAAGCACGCAGGAGAGCTAAAAGGCGTCGTCAGGCTGCTGATTTAATACGCAGGTGCTTGTGTGACACTTTCTTACTGTTAACTTAGGTATCTAATTTGAATTTAGCATTTATTGTGAATCTCCTTCCTTGTTTCTTTTATTTTTTTTCAGGTTCATAAAAGGCTTCATCCACCGTCATGAGGAATACGGTCCTGACAATGAGTATTTCCTGGAACATGTTCGCTACTCCTTCCTCAAGAACCTACGTAAAAACCTGCCCAAGAGCGTTTTGGATAAAAGCTGGCCGACGCCTCCTCCCTCCCTTGTGGAGGTACGAACAGCCCATTCACACAACTACACTAAGTAAATCTCTGCAGAGTTACAAATGGATGTCATGCATTGTCCATCCCATGGTTTCCTGCAGGCCTCCGAGCACCTGCGCAGGCTGCACATGCGGAACATGGTCATCAAGTACTGCAGGAGGGTCCAGCCTGAATGGAAGAAGCAGGTAGTCTGACTGCAGAAGACACGTCTGCCCTCAGCTTTAGAATAAAAAAAATATTCTGCCAGTTTTTTCATCTTGCTTGGTTTTTGTCAACCCTCTAGATGATGCAGAAGGTTGTAGCAAGCGAGATCTTCAAGGACCAGAAAGACAGTTATCCGCAGAGTGTTGGAAGGCTGTTTTTGGACTCCAGGCTCGGTACGTGTTCATACATGCATTCATTACCATTCATTAACACAATGGACGAGCAAACATTAAGCATTCACAGAGGCTTTTCTTTGCTTTATACAGAACGTGAGCAAATCAATCTCAAGGTCGTCCAGACTCTCGGCAGTGACAAAGTGCAGGTGGGATTCATTTGGGATTCTTTTAAACACAATAATGAATGGTGGCTCATAGTAATGCATGTCTTTGTTCTGCTCAGTATGGTGTTTCAGTCATAAAGTATGACAGGAGGGGTTTCAAGCCTCGTCCTCGCCAGCTGCTGCTCACTAACACCTTTGCCGTGCTGGTGGACCGGACCAAGATCAAGCAGAGGATTGACTACGCAGCTCTCAGAGGTAAAAACCAGCCCTAAATGAAGAACTGGACAAGTGGAGAAAGGTTTTATATTAAAGCAGCCATAGACAACTTTTCAACCATCCCTCCCAGTGGCTCTGTTGCAAAGACTAGATTGTTTTTTGTTTTTTTAAATTGTCCCTAAAGCCTCACACCTATCAACAACACAGAACCTCTTACAATCAACACCACTTTTCTGCCATCACGAACAGCGTGGCTACGCTCTTAAGTAATGACCAGTTAAAGGGAAAAGTAAACGTATTTATAAATAGGTTTTGTTTCTTATTGATCTAGCAGAAATAATACCAGCTGAATATCAGTTTTGAATTACTTCAGGTCCCATTGCTCTCTGCACTGAGTGAAGCCCATCAAAGTGCCTCAGTTTCTGTCTCCTATTTCACCTCTTCCTCTGACAGCAATGGGACTTTTTCTCTTTTACCAGACAGTTTCCACAGTTACTCTGGGTTTTTTCACCATAAACCTTAACTTTCTCTGGAGTTTTCATCCCCAGTAGCAGAATTTCTTAGGGAAGCTTAAAATGAACCAATCTAAATCTCGATGATGTTATAATTCTGTAGGCCTTATATTATGCAATCAACATTTACTTCATAATGATGACTTACAGCGAAAGAAACTGTCTATTGCCACTTGAATGTAAATTGAGTAAATGAGTAATGTCCTTGAATCCAGGGGAAGTAATGAACTCATTCAATTTGTGTGTGTTTTATTCCTAAAGCGGGATTATTAGAGTTTTTAGCTTTCGAATCAAGTTATTTTTTCTTTGGCCTTCAGCAGTCATAAGACTCTGAATCACTACCTTTCCTGTACTCTTCAGCAGAAATATCCATGACAACCAAGTGGCAATTCTGTCGAAAGTTGTCTCTGCTGACTGTTACAGACACTGAATCAGTAATTAACAAATAGTTTCACTGTGACTTTGTTGTTTTGTTCAGTTAGTACAAGCCAAGTTTTCTCTTGAAACAGGTATCTCTGTGAGCTCTCTCAGCGACGGGATGTTTGTTCTGCACATGCCCACTGAGGATAATAAACAGAAGGTACAGCAAGACACAGCAGTCATAGCTGTTTTTAAGTGCACACACACGCAGCTAGTCTAAATCCAGCTGTGTCTCCCTCAGGGCGATGCGGTGCTGCACTGCAGCCATGTGATGGAGGTGGTGACGAAACTAGCCATGATGGCCAACAAGACCAGCTACGTCAACATCAACCCGGGCAGGTGAGGTTCTGTCTGACTGCTTCTCTGGTGGTTGTTGCCAAACCAGCTCATCGTCTTCTCTGTTTGTTTGTTGCCTCTCATGTGGCACGCAGCATTCGGTTTGCTGTGGCTCGAGGCAAGGAAGGAATAATTGATTTCATCAGGGGTTCAGAGCTGAAGGTGGCCAAAGGCAAACGAGGACATCTGCTAGTGGTGAGTCAGCGGCTGTTCTGATATCATGTGGGGAGCCTGCAGGGAGGGAGACAGTGTTTTGATATCAAAAACAGTTCGACCACCTGACCGTGTTCAATCTGATCTCACTCTTCAGACCGCCCCTCGGATCAACGGCACATGAAGAAACAGAAAACAGCAACCGGATGAACAGTAATCCTTTTTAGCTAACTGGAGGATTGCCGCTCAGACGTTTTCATTGTTATTTGTTAGTTTGCAGCTGACAGGATGATACCACAATATACAGGATGCTCAACAGAGGCAAGATTCATTATTGATTTGTATACTGTACATCTGCATTATAACACAAATGTCTTCAATGTTGCAGTAAGTATTTAAAACCAAGGACAAAAACTCCAAACATGAAGCCATCACATTTCCAAATGCTTCATCTCTTTATTGTTAGACACACACGTCAGTATTTATCTACCAAATATAAAATGTCCTCCATAAAAACACTGTATCTCCAAGAGAAATAAAACAAACCACTTTGTAATAAATAGCATGATAATAAATATGTTAATAAATAGCAAATATGTGTTTGGAAAGTCCAGTGCATTGAGGGCGTGGGCGGGAAAAAAGAGGATGTTGGCAAGTCAGGTCTCTGCTTATTTCAAACTTACAGTTAGAGCGAAGACAGAAACTCTGGGAAATACCCAAGAAAGCCCATAAATATACAGTAATACTTCATGTAAAAAAATAAAAAATAAAACAGACTCACTAAACTCAGCTTCGTGGAAAGTGTTGACAACATCACTAAAGCACCGATTAAACACTTTTTCTAAATTTCTCCTCAACGCTGTGTCACTTCAGCTCTTTCTTCCTTTTTTTTTTTTTTTGTTTGTTTCTGTGCAAGCGTGCGTTGTCTAAGTTTCGGTTCTGAGTCATAAGTGTGTTTTCGAAGCCAGCAGAAGAAAGTCTCTTGCCAGCTTGGTGAGGTAAAGGTCTAGATGCTTCAGAATGACGTAACCCTCCACTCGGCTGTCCCATAACTTTTTGGGACTGCTGTCTTGGTTTGAGGGAGTTTGCGCTGTAGCAGATACCGGCTTAATCCAGGAGCTCTTCATTAGTCTCATCTGGGGAAGAAACAGAAATACATGTTATCAAACCGGTGTCGCTTCCTGCAACATGTGGGTTTGTGGGCTAGGAAAGGGGGGGACCAACATGTTGGTGGCTTTCAGTACGAAGACTGTGAATACCTGACTGCTGACTTGGTTCATCAGATCCCTTAAGTCCAGCTGGATGTGCTTGATGCTCTGAGGTAAAGTGGTTTGGGTCGCCTGCACCACCATCTGCGCTTTCTCCTCCTTCTCCAGCTGTGTTCTCTTCCACTCCAGCTTATCCCAGTAGGCTTGCATGTCCCAGAAAGCAGCATGCAATCGGTCCCAGTCCTGAACGCACAACAAGAGACAAGCACATGATTACATAATGAAAATATTGCACAACCCCCCCCTCATGCTTGAAGCTGTAAAAGGGGAATTCCACTTAAAATTTTTCCAAGTTTTACGTTCTGTAAGAGCAGGCTTTCTGAGTATGTCATCAGACACTTTTTCTCCCCATAATGGAAAAAAAAAATATCAAGACAATTAAAGAATTTCTCAGAAAACTTCCTCTGAAGTTGTTTTGAAACACGTGGACAGATACGAACCGCCAGCTGCAGCCACTCGGAGAAGTCTGTAGAAAGCACAGGCAGATCCTTCAACGGTCGGCTTCTGTCCTCGAAATTCTCAATTTCCCCCAACTGGTGCTCTTTCTGTTAGAATAAAGAAAACGATGAGCTGTCAGTACCTCCAACACTGTTCAGGAATATAGCGTCCACTCACAAGAAGCAGGAAGTTAGATTGCACCACTCACGTATTTCCTCAGCACCTCCTGCACACGGGTTCGAGTGGACCTCGTGAGACGAAAGGAGTTGTTGTATTTGTTCCTCTGGCGAGCAGTGGACTCCACACAGCTCAGTGTGCCAGAAAGGAGGATGAGAGCCAGCCAGCAAACATTCATCTGAAACAGAGTTGGGATGTGTAAATCATCTGCTGTTTACAGATCACTGTCTTGTCTTGCTGCTTTCTAGTATAACCTGCTGAGGCTGTAAAAAAAAAACAAAGCTGCCGCAATAATCCAGTCACATATAGGAACTGTCACTTTCCGTACCTAGTGTCAGAAAGAAAGGCCATCGATGCTGCTGACAGAAATCCAAAACCACATCTATCTTTAATCCCCTGCCACATGACATCCAAACAGTTTTTCTGCTTACACATGTTTTAAAAACAGAAGTGTGTCGATTCCTCTCAACAGTTTCACAGTGGAAGGAAGACAACATTTACACCACTCTTTTTTTTTTTTTTGGTCTTTCTAAAAAAATAAAAAATTTGCAAGTTCCAATCTCCAAACTACAAATTAGAGTAGCTGCTTTGCTGAAAGTGTTTTTTCACGTTCCCTGGCTCTATTTGAGATTCATAGAGAAGTAGAAAATAAAAGTAGAAGTAATAATAGTAGAAAATAAAGTAAGCTTTCATCATTTTTTCCAGCTGCGTCACACGGTGCTGGTGAAACAGTGTTCTTGCTGAGTTCACACGTTTGTCATTCACGAGAAGCATCACAGTCTTGCCTCACAATTGTTGACATGAAGTCAGATTAAGAATAGATTAACAACACAAAGA